GTTTTTTATGAAGTGATTTCAAGTACGTCAGCTATTTTGCATGTTATTTTCTGAATGATATCTCGCTGGATCCATGGCTGTGACGGATTGTTCGTTGTGTGAAAGCACCCGTCGTCGTCCGTTTCCCCAGCTATTCTTGGCCATCGCCATCCCGCTGGACCTGCCGAACAAGGACGTGTCGCTGTCGTGGAACTTCGAGGCCAACTACTACCTGCCGCCCTACAACACGTCGCAGTACGCGCCGGGCACGGTGCTTCTGCGCGACGCGGGCTCGGGGCGCGGGCGGCGCGAGCGCGGCGCCGCCATGATGGACCGCACCAGCTTCTACGAGCTGGTCGAGAGCCACCTGCACAGGTTGGTGGGATCGACGGTACAAGGGAAAAGCTGCAACATGGCTCATCTCGTAATGACGTCAATTCTATTCACTGGCCACACGACGCGTCCTCATACAGAATTCGAAAAATGGCCAGGTTTGGTCCTGGATTATGCTTTAATTTCAAGAGTACATTTTCACATTTTATTTTAAATAAAAAAATTGGTTATTTAGAATAATCGTCATTTAATTATAATGTGGATGTTCATTTGGAATTCATTATCATGATATAAATAGTGTATTTATCATATCGAAAATTTCGCACGCCCACTAAAAGTTCGTTTCAAACTGCCGTTTAAGTGATTTGGCTAATGACGTATCTGACCCTTCGCGGACCAATCGCAAATCCGTCCACCGAATTAGAACTCCCTCTCGAATTTCTAACGTGATAATCTACTCTGGGTTTTCACTGCTTTCGGGCTCCAGAGTATCCTGGAGCACCCGCGCTGTCGCGCCTCCGAATGGAGGCGGCGCTCGGTTGCCGCCTCAGCCTGTGCGGCGCTTATTTTTCCAACTTAGAAGGCGCTATCGCTAGAGCACGGAATGAGCAGCCCTAGCGGGAATATTTTTTTAATATATGAAAACCTATGCATATCCGATTCACGATTACTTTTTGTATTTCGCTTCTGATACGATGTATTCTTTTAAAATGTGCAATCATTTTTTTTATACGTGCATACGTACTAACGTTTATTCTTTTAAAAAATGCAGGAGATACTAAAAAATAAAAAAAATCTTAATTCGATTGTAGCAGCGCAGATGTGTTTTATTTAACTCGTATGTCATTGATTCTTAATCGCCATTGTGTAAACGGCCCGCCCCACTGTCCGTCTGCTTGTTGCACCCGTGGTGACAATAAGCCTCATTATAATAGCTCAAAAAATACATTCATATCTCCTGATGTCTTTTCCCCCGCCTAGAATTGAGAACAAGTTTGAGTTATTCAATTGGTTTAGATATACATATATCAAGAAAAACAAACGTTTTTATAACAATTACCCACTGTCGAATTAATGAGAAGCTTCTGCAACTAGTGCAGTGGCAATGTAAAGGTCCTAGGAATTGCCAGTGGCGGATCTGGGGGGAGGGGCATGGGGCCATGGTCCCCTCAAAGGCCAAGAAAGGAGAAAAAAGTTTGTTTCCTTTTTGTTTGCCAAAATTTATATAACTATTCATGTTTATGCAATTATTTTTAAAAAATATTGTATAGCATCATATATACGAGTATACTACAAAAGTATACAATAACAAATATGTTTATTATTTTACAAAATCAATATTACCCCCTCCGACCCCCCAAAAATGATTGGCTGGACCTGCCCCTTGGCACGGGGTACTGCACCCTTGTTCACGCCTGTTTTGGCTGTGCCTGCAGCGAGGGTCTGCCCGGGCGGGCGTGCCTCCTCCGCGCCATTTGCGAAGCGGCCGAGACGCCCCTGCGCCACAACGGCCTCGTGGGAGACCTCCTGCACGTGCTGCTCACGTGAGTACATCCATGCTGTTTCTCCCTTTGCTCGGCGGAGCTTACAAGCCCTTCAACAGATCAAACACCAAAATCAACGTGTTACACTTTGTTTACCTGTGTGTGTGTTTGCGCGAGAGTGCTTATCCGTATCCCGTTAGTGCGCAGTTGGCCGGCCGTTTGACTGCCGCCCCTGGCCCTTCATTGGTGCGCTTTTGTCCCCCCAAGGATATGAACGTTATTACACATGATTACGTGATGAATTTTTACATCCTCGCATTTGGCTTAGCGAGGGTGAATATTTATCTGCTTTCTAGAGGACTGTTTTCCAAATAAGGTAAGGCACACAGATATTCAGGATATGGGAAACTTCGAACACGTATCAAAACGAATATTAGAAGACAGCAGGTTTTGTTTGTGATCGTTTTACCCGCCGCACAGGGTTGCTATCTTAAACCAGGGATAAATAACCTTTCTTTACTAGTGTAGAGTGTTCTTTGTTACCATCAAATTTTAGACGTGACTCATCTTATTTTCCTTAATAAGTCACGAAACTATTATTATGTAAATTTATTGCATTTAATTTTAACTTTTTATAATTACATTTAATATACCTTATTATAAAATGTAAATAAGCATAAAAGTAAAGTGAATTTCAATGATAATTATATTAAAATTGTTCTACACTTCCCAACATTTATACTCGTATATAGATTTCACAACTGTTAGCACATCGGCTACGGTCGCACAAACTGGCCTCACAATGAGACGGCACCGATGTGAAAAGCCAAGCACCAATCGCAAGTGACAGATCGATTGATTGGGTTACCCTTTGCCACCTGACTTACCTCCTGATTTTTGCAGTCCGTCTGCTCTGAAATCTGGGAGATGTTTTGGGCGAGAACGACTTGGCGAGCAGAACACATAGAAAGGTGCTTTTGAAATTAATATAAATTTAATTCGTCTAAGAAAGAGAGATGGGGATGAAATGTGGCTGTATTGCTGGGCAATGTTACAGATGATCGCATGCGCTACTTAAGCTATCTTACACATAGTTTGCACTGTTTTTCGTTGCACTCCGGCCTCTTCGTTTTCCATCGTACGGGGACGACGGTTTCCGGTATTCGAGAGAGTGTCCGTGAATCTGAAGGCGGCTCCACACATTCGGCATTCGCCGAGCAGCTCGTCCAAGCCCGAACAGCTGATGTGTTCGGCGAATGTTCGCTCCCTTCGATGTGTCCTAAAGACCGACACGTGGTGGGTAGAGCGAGTACCGAATGTTCGGCACTCGACGAATCGCAAGCAACCCGTCCACACTACTCGGGATTCGGCGAGCGCTTGCTCAGGATTCGCCAAATGCCATAGCGGCGATAGCGGGGGCGACCCTTCCACCATGTGTACATGGCCGACCACATAATACATGGTCGAAGGGGCGACCATGGTGGAAGTAACAAGGTGTAGCGGTGCGCATGCCGCCTACTGTGGACCAATAAGAGTATATCTCCGATGCGCCAAATTCAAATTATCTAGGCTGGCGTGGGCTTTTGTAAGTTATTTGTAATAACGACATTTGTTATTAAAATTATCCGTTTAATTTAGTCAAGACCTTAAATATTAGTATATTGGAGATATTCATGATTTTGTTCACAGTTTAAATATTTCAGGTCTGATTTACAAAAAGTTTGAACAAATACAATGACCTGACCTGACCTGACCTGACCTGACCTGACCTGACCTGACCTGACCTGACCTGACCTGACCTGACCTAACCTAACCTACAATACTTGGCCACATTATTATAACCACTTTTCAATTTCATTTCTTTTTACGCGTACGCGGTGTGCTAGATTGGGTGGATTTGGTAGCGTCCCCCTTCACGTATTTTGCTATCATAAAATGCCTCCCAGAACCTCAAAAGGCACGATTCCTGAGCTTCGTGGGTAGCACTTATTGTAATAAAACTTTTTTTAAAATGCAAAGGTTACAGTGTAATTTCTATACTTATTTTGATTTGTTATGTTAAACATTTAAAAATTATTATTTGGGAGAACGTGGTTTCGTCAGACTGAGAGCCTCAGGAAATTAATCTGGTCATGAGCGTGCCATCAGGTAGCTTACGTGCCACAGGGTTCATTTCTTCTCGAGTTCGCTCGAGTGAGTAAATTGAAACGGATAAAATTGGCAGATATCGAGAGGGTGAGTAAAGGCTGAGATTGCGCATCTAGTACAGCCAGGTCGAACTCATTGTCTGTAATAGAATTCTACCGCTCGGCTACTCTGATCGGTAGTTTTCCGTGATTTCTCCGATCAATACCAGTCGAATGCCGAAGCAGTATCCTAACAAATGGTCCAAGGACCGCGCAGGATCCTCACAATTGTCCCCTTCTTTGCCCTTACGCACATTCTTACACACGCAGTCAATATACTATCACACATGTCAGGAGATCAGTCGAGAGTTTACAGCATGTCCCGACTTAGGAGAGGGCGATACCCAGAGGTGGGGAAACCGCAAGTCTGCTGATTGTAGGACGGCGCAGGATCTATCGTTATTTCGGGTAAGAAATACCGTCACCGACACCTCCCGGGGTACAACGTGCTCCACAAAACACTGGAATGATGACAATGTTAAATAGTTGATGCGACCCAAAACATTAAATACTCACTCGCTCACCCGCGCTTGCGTGCGCATTTGCGCGTGCATGCGTGCGTGTGCGCGTGAGTGATGCCGGGGTTTGCTGGGCGCAGGCCCCGCTAGCAATGGCAAATTGTAGCGAAACATCGATTCTAAAACAAAATGTTTTTGATATCAAAAACATCGACAAAAACATCGATGTTTTAAATACGATGGAAAACACCGACGTCAAATGTCTAGATTATAATTTGGTACATAGCACGTCAATATTAGTTTAATGTATATTCTGACTTAAATTTGACTGTAATTTTCATTTTATAATCAATGTTCTCTGTATACAAGGTTCAACATGTAGTTATTACGATATTATCAAGTAAAAACCATCAAAAAAGATTAAAATTATTGGAGAAAGGTTGCAAAAAGCACAAGGTTTCGTGACATGTGGGGATCGACAACAACGACAGTTGAGAATGGTTGTTGATTGCGGGCAATCCACACAAAAAATAGATGTTGGAAATTTTATTTATATCACGATTAATTTTTTTTTTAAACATCTGCGTTTCTGAACAAATAAATCTCAAGAAAACATTGACGTTATTATATCGGTGTTTCTGTTCGAAAAAATCGATGTTTTAAAATGGATGTTTTTTGCGGTCCCTAGGCCCAGCACCAGCGAGGACGAGGGGCTGCCGCCGGAGTTCGCCGAGGCGGAGGCGCGAGGCGCCGTGGACGGCGACTGCGCAAGGGCGCACGGCGCTGCCTGCCCGGCCAGCGTCCTCGACCTCGTCTCGGTGCTCGTCTGACGCCCTGCCTCGGCCGCTGCGAGTGCTTCGGCAATAACCTGCTGCCGATGCTTTGGCGCAAATGACAAAAGGCGAAGCACGA